AGAATTGCGATTCAGTTCGTTAGTTAAGCAAAGCCGAGCCTGACGACGAGTTTTCGTGAAGCTATACCTGCGTAACCGTGACAAATTATCGTACATAGCCTGAAGCAAAGTTGTAGCTCAATGTACCAACTACAACTATTGTTCAAAGACCATGTGCTAATTCGCAACAGGAACGGAGTAAAATCACCCCAAATATCGGTGTCAGTCAGTCAAGGTTCATGACTTAGTGCTGCAAATGTTGATTTTTCTGATTTTGTGATCCAATTTCACACATGTTAGGAGCTGAATCAGTTAATGACCCAAAAATAAAAGTTGTTCCTTATGTCAAATACTACAACTTTGCTTTAGTGATCTCCTCCATGCAAGGTCTCTAATACCTAGTTCAAACTTGGTCAAACAAGCTACATTCAAAAGATGGTACATACTTAAACTATGACATAATGACCTAATTAGCCCTAGCCATAAATACCAAAGTTGTTCATGATGATATACTAAACATGTTTAAGCTATTTGTAAGGTCACACAATCATCTACATGTTTACACTCATGATCACATGCACATACACATGGGAACATGAAATAATAAGAATGTTGCTTATGTTTCACTCAAATGTTTCAAGTGTAAATGCTTATATATGAATGCTTGATGATCATGCTCATGTTATGCAAGTCAAGTTATGCAAGGCTAACACCCGAGGTGTTACAAACTGATTTCCGTATTAATTAGCTTTGTGTAAAGAAAACAAAGAAATTCATACAAGAATCCATCCCTGATTTTGTAAGAAGTTTGCCCTGACACATTTGATGAGCTAATCTCATGTTCACTACCGCTGAGGCCATATACAGAACTTAAGTAGCGTTGTTTATTGTTTGTGTCATGCCATCTGTGCCTCTGAAAAGTTTATTTTCTCAAAAAATAGTGTGACGCCGCAGCATTTTCAGTTGAAATTGCCATAGAACATCATTGAGGCTATATGTAGTTGGGAAGGCAAGATATGAAATGCCTCTTATGTTGTAAGTTATCAGTATTAAAGGTTTTGAGCATTTTCTCTGTTTGACAGGCACACTGAATTATATACATGGGGATGTTGGCATGAGTGTGGACAAGAGTTCAAGGACTACGCAAGATTGTGATTTGTGAACCTGGCTGAAAAAAGCTCACCTCCATCTCCATGCCATGCAGTTTATACATCGACACCTAATCTGCAAGGCTCTCCTTAACCTTGAACCCACTTTCCAGTGTCCTTTCTGGTATGATTATTTCCTCTCCCCTCAAAGCAACAACTTTTTTTTTGTCACTTTTCCAATTCCATATTTCTCGCTACTGTGTTTTGCTTTTTCTAAACGGATCATAGGACATATGCAAGTATATGTTTGATATGCAGTTGGTCTGAATTCAGTATTGCTCTTTCATCGTGAGTAATAACATAACACAAGCATTATTCTTTTTATTTTCTACAGAAGCTCAAAAGAAACAATGCGAGACATGGAGACGATTCAGGTTTCGATGCAAACTTTCAACCTGACAGGTATTTCTTTTATGCCCATCATTTATGGGTGTTAGTTCAGGGCGTTCTTACCACTTTTTGTTTCTTTCCAGCGGAACTTGCAGATCATGTGCAACCATTTATTACAGATTATGGAAATTGACATTCATCATCCGTGCAAAGTCAAGCAAAACAAAAAAAAAGATTAATTAATCGCTGCAGTTATCTTCAATCTAATTAATTTATAATATCACTTCGGTATATTGCTAACTTTCAAAAAAAAAAACTTCTCAAGTTCTAGATTAAGAAGAATATTTATACCATTTTCCCCCATGCCATAGTGTCTGTTATTGGCTCCAAGTAGAGAGAACAGGTACAACCATGTCTGTGTGATGCGTGTTCATTTACTTGCAGATTTCATTTGGCTGTCTGCTTACCTAATAACAACAGTTAGACAGTTTGAATGACTACTCTTTTTTCAGCCATGATTTAAGAATATTTGAAGGTTTTCCTGTTATACATAATTTCCTCTGTATTCACTTCTCATCTTGTAATCAGTTAACACTGTATATTAATTCCTCTTCTGAATTGTCGCATTTATCTCAAAAATATTATTCGCTTCACTGCTTACTGTAGGCTAATCACACAATCCCTCAGCCCAAGACATGGGTTCTCTTTGGTACAAGCACGATGTCATCTAAATAAGCCATCCGTAGCCATTCAAGTCACCAACTTCTTTTCATGACACAGGTATCTACTGAAAATTTCATTTACTTTGGTAGGGTATACATAGACAGGTATCAATGCATGTTATTAAGGGTGCAATTCAATGGCCTTAACATCTCAGATTTGCTTGGTCTTCATTTTCAGATTGATGTCAACATTGAAGCTTATGTGGTTCATCATATCGGTCTTAAAGAACATCGACTCTACACGGATTATGGACGTTGTAGTCATCCATTGTTTATTGTTGAGGGCCAGAAGCTGCTCATTAAGAAGACACATATCGGAGCTTTGCAACAAAGGGTCTGGCATTGATCAACATCTGCTAGCTTCCACTTAAGTTTACATGTGTATAATTTTTCTCCTAAGCTTATATCCTTTTGTCCACTTATCGAGGAGAGTCCTAATGAAGGTTGGCATGAACTGGTCTCAAAAGGATATATAGAGTACATAGATAATGACGAAGAGGAGGCTACCATGATCTCCATGACCATAAATGTGAGATATGCATGTGTCCCTGATTGATCATATTCTGAGGGCCTTGTGTATGAAAGGGGTTTTGTCTATCATTCTTAGATCAGTTTTGTCTACCATTCTGGTGATCATTCTATGTAGATCAGTTCGCTTTTCTTCATTGTAATACTTTGTCGTGACTATATACTCAGGGATGAGTAAAGGATCCAATACTTTTTTCTAAGTATTCAATTCTGCATATACTAAATCCATGGATCAGTTCAGTTTCATGCCTGTATTGCACATTCGAACATTTACACTTCAGTCATATTTTGTCTATGCGCGCGATGGCACGCGCGCTGCACTAGTTTCTTATATTTATGTTGGAATTATTCATCTATACATATCTATAGTCTCTTGTGCTAGTAGCTGAAGAATGTATAAGCTCCTTTATTCATTTCATTTCAATGTGTGGACCCTTTTGTAGCTTTCAGGTTTGTTCTATATGCTGACCTGCTGCCATATTCATGTGTCCAGTGACAGGAACTTTAAAGGGATATGACCAGCTACTCAACTTAGTGCTAGATGAAGCGGTTGAGTCCGAAAGATGTACTTTTTGATTCCTTTGGTTCTGTTGTATAGCACTTGGTATTGCTTATTGAAATTGGCAAGAGCTAGGGACTTAGGACACATTTTATATGTCAATCATTTGGGCTGTTACTATTTGCTAGCTAATTGTTTAATTAAAATTTGGCTAGGGATATAAGATAATTGCTTATTAGAACTGAGCTAAGTGTAGCCGGAGCATGGGATTCTTTGTTCTGCAAAGAACTAGATCATCCGTCATAGTGCCACATTTCTCAGTATGCTGCGTATCCTGATGGAATATTAAGTTTCTTTTTACAGCGCTGAATAGAACCATCCATAACCTTGTCATTTTCTTTCGTAGAGCAAGATGACCCACTGAAGTTATCAGGGAAAACCAGACAGCTTGGTCTCATTGTAAGTATTTTTTTTCTGACAGTTTTGATTTTATACTTAGTAATTCCTCTATTATTTGAGTGATGCGATAGGGGAGCTGATGTTGGAGTGTGTCTCAAATCTTCTTGCAAGCTTACAAACTCAGGTTGTTAACAATGAACGATTTCAGAAAAAGTAGGCTCAGGCTGTCAGGCACTAGTGTTTCTAGTAGATTATCCTCTAGGATGGATGAGTAGTCCTCCTATGGTTACCTGAAGAAACGTAAGAAACTACATAATTTTGTGGTCACTGCTAAATAATCTACTTTTGGTATATGTGTCGTTGCTTTTTCTTGGGCCCTGTTTACAACTACAGGTCTGAACTTCATGTGTCCTGTTCTGTTTTTTTGCAGGTGTGCAGGGGCACAGCGGTCATGCTGGTCTCACGAACTGATGGAACAGATGAGCTTGCACTGGTGGGTTATTTAGAACCGCGCTGCTGTGAACGTTTTAATTTTCACTGCACAACTTCAAATCTCGACCCTTCGTTGCTAAAGTGCTGCTGCTAAGTAACTCTGTTTTTTCCTCTTGTCCGATACCACTATTGAGTTACGGTGTGCCTGTGTTTTGTGCATGTTTAGATCAGAACGAGGGGGACACAAAGAAGTCACCAGCTCACCGTGAACACACACACAGTCCCTGTCCCTGAGGCTTCAGGGCAGTTTGAAACTTGGTAACGATGAAACAAAATCAAAAGTTGTGATGAAATCAAATGAAATTATCATCCCATAACCAGAATTGATGCACCCATTATTGTTGAAACTGAAATTCTAAGATGAGGTTAGTGAACTTGTGGCATTGGTTGCTGATCCCGTAAAGCGCCTGAAGCGTATACGTATAGGAATGGAATGGAAAGTTTAGCCTGTACACAAGCCAATTTCTTCCTTCCTTGAGTGATGCAACTACTACAGGATACAGGTATGAGTGAATTAAGATAAAAACGTTTCACAAGTAGTAGTTGAAGATAAAGCGACGTTTCACAAGTAGAGCTAGGTTTCTATCAAGAATTGAAGGCGACAAAGAATTCAGAGGAGCAGCCATTTGATTGTTCATTTGCTAAATAACACGATCGACGATGACAGAGTCCACAAGTGATCAGAACAGCTGAACAGGGGAACTGTTGGAGTTAGCACTAGGCAACTCTTCGCCACACCGCCAGCAATGCCTGCTGGTCAGCGCCCTGTTCTGTTCGATCGGGGACAACAAAGCACACACAACTTAATTAAGCCCTGACTGGGCTAGCTAGCTAGCAGAGCAGACAGACAGACAGACAGGAAACAAACGCACGCAGGGTGACTGCCCCTTCCCTTGCTTCAATTCAGTCGTCCAGCTTCCATGCCGTGGACGGCGGAGGGGCGTCCAGGCCGACGACGGCGAGCAGCGGGCTCCGGACGACGTGGCCGCGGTTGCTTGACCAGATGATGGAGCCCTCGAAGGCGGCTCCCTTGATGAGCGTGACCCCGGACCTCGGGGCGACTCGGATGGAGAAGGACCGCTTCTGCCCCGGCGCCGTGAAAGTCAGCACGGCGGGTTCCACGTCCACGAACACCATCTTGGACAGAACCACCGACAGCTTGTACACCTCCGGCAGGCCGTCAGCAACAAGGTTGGTCAGCGTCCTGACCACGACGTGATTCTGCCGGAGAGGGAGCACGTCGACGACGACGCTTGGATAGTTGAGTTCTTCTTGGGCCACATGTGCGTAATCGGAGCACTCGCCGGTGCTGTACTTGCGAGTAATGGCCCGCATCGCAGTCTGGCCGAGGCTGGAGCACAAGTAGCCGATGTACTGTTCTTTGTTGATGTCGAACGCCAGCCCAGGATCCATGGCGCTGGTCACGTTGACCGTCGCGTAGAGCCCAGCAGGCTAATCCAGGTCCCGCTGCTCGTCCAGGATGAGCCCCCCGCTGTTGTCTCGGGTGTAGGCGGTCGTCATCAGTGCTGACCTGCAATGCAAATCGATCGAAGCAGCAGCAGGATCGAATATTAGTATAGGAAGTACGTACTATAGCAGCTCGGGATCGGAGTGGGATTATATAGAATTACCTCATGATGGCCGGACTCCACGTCGGATGGACCCTCTTCAGAAGCGCCACGATCCCGCGCGGCCATGGAGGATCCCGACTTACCATTTATTGCTGGTTGGTTTGGTGTGAGAGAAAAACACTGTTCGTAGCTTGAAAATTTACGATTGTTTACGAGCAAGCGAACGGGCTACAGATGTATCCCTGGTCTCGCGGGCACGCCGGCGAGGATGTTGAGCCCCGGCGCCAGCACATAAGGCTTGAGGATGCCGGGGATCAACTTGCTCGGGCCACGGCCCGAGAAGTAAGTCACCGTAGGCGCCGGAGAGGAATGCTGTGTGCCGACACCCCAGTTGACGAGCCCATAGCGTAGGGGCCCGCCTGACGCGAACTTCTTCAAGATGTCACCCCTGCTTGTGGGTCACTTGAACTACGGGACTCAATGGGCCGAAGTTGTCCAAGTTAATGGTATCTCCTTTCTCTTTTGGTTCGACGAACACAACGGTCGAAGCGTTCAATCCCATAAGTACAAAGGCTGTCTTGTGCATCAGATCACGTCTGCCGGGGACTAGGTCGCAGATGACGACCTTGTCAGGAACCAAGGCCCTCAGCTCCTCGAAAGGGTACACGCAGTACCTGCGAAGCTCCTCGGTACGGAACAGGAGACGCTTCCAACTCGGCGGCGGCGTCGTCAGGAGGAGCTTCATCCTATCCGTAAGAGCCTCTCCGACGGCGGAATCGTGAGCTTTATCCGCGGGCCCTTCAAGGTACACGGTGGCCGGGAAATACCGGTCCACCGTGCTGGCGCCCACCGTGAGCAGCCATGGCGCGGTGTTCTGGACAGAGGATGCGTTCGGGCCATCGTTGCCGGCGCAAGCGACGACGTGGATGCCTTTCTGCATGGCGGTGAAGCTGCCGATGGCGACGGCGTCTTGGTCGAACGTGGGATTGGTGCTCGCGGCGATGGACACGGATATGATGTCCACCCCGTCCGCCGCCGCCTCGTCGAAGGCCCTCAGCACCGCTGTCCCGGGGCAGTCTCCCTGGGGGCCGCCGCACGCCTTGTAGATTGCCAGGTGGGCGTAAGGAGCCACGCCGGAGGCGGTGCCGGCGGCAAGGCCGTTGATGGAGACGTTGGCGACGAAGTTGCCGGCCGCGGTGGTCGCCACGTGCGTGCCGTGGCCGTTGTCCGTGTCGTAGGGCGGGGTGACGTCGCCCTTGGGGACGTACATGTTCTTCTCCCCGATCAACTTCTTGTTGCACTTCATGGCCGGATGGCACGACCCCCTCCAGAACGGCGGGGCCATGTCCTGGAACCCAGCGTCCTCCAGCGACGGGTGGGTGTCATCGATGCCGTGATCGATGACACCGATGATGACCCCCCGGCCGCCGTTGCCGGGCCAGTTGTCGGGCGCCTCCCCCATGCGGTTCGGCAGGCCGAGGAACGACGGCGTGTGCGTCGTCTGCGCGCGGTAGATGATGTTCGGGAAGGAGCGGACGAAGCCCGGCTTGGCGGAGAGCTCCTTCAGCTCCTCCTCCGTCAGCCACGCGGCGAAGCCGGTGAAGACGGTCCGGTAGGAGTAGAGCAGCCTGGGCTTGCCTTGTGCCGTCGTCGTCGACGGCAGGAAGGAGCGGTGCCAGGCCTCTACTCTGGCAGCATCAGCATCGGCATCTTGGCCTCCTTCTGGTGGCTCGAGGAGGATGATGTACGTCTTGTAGCCGCCTTCGTCGGCTGGCTCGACGTGCGGCTCCCTCTCATCCAGCTCGGCGGTGGTGGAGGTGGACGCGACCACCGCCTTGAGCAGCTCGGCGTTGATGGACGCTAGCTCGACGTGCGGATCCCTCTCGTCCAGCTCGGCGGTGGTGGACGCGACCGCCGCCAGGAGCAGCAGCAGCAGCGCCATGCTGCTCGCCATGGCTGCGGGCGAGCGGGAGCAGTGGAAGATTGGTGCGCTGCGGGCGAGCGGGAGCGGTGGCTGGCGAGCGGTAGCAGTGGAAGATTGGTGCGCTGCGGGCTGCGGCAATCAAGTATATGGGGGTATATATATATACACATACACTATACTACCACACAAGCCGTCCCAGCTAGCTGCGTGGGTTGGACTTGGAATTGAACTCGCGGGCGGTACACGGGCACAATATAATGTCCATCATCCTCGTCCCCAGCCACGCACCGTCTCGGTATACATGCATACGGATGATCGTGTCGGATCGGATGACCACGTATAACAAATAAAACGCCTTCTTCTTTGGTTGCACACCGCGAACGCGCCTGCTGCAACATGCATGCTAGCGGCTTTAATTGGCTTGTGTACAACAGTGCGATGATGATCGAATCCTTCTGTGGCCGCGTTTAGTTTGCCCCAAATTCCAGAATTCGACACTATGCAAAAAGAAGATTCTCCATCACATCAAATTTACTTCATATAAAATGTTGACAAATTGCACAGCGGTTTGGTTGTTCGTCGACGAACGTTTTGAGCCTAATTAGTCAGCAATTAGACAATTATTACCAAATAAAAACCAAACGACACTGTAGCTACAGTGTTCCTGCCGGCGCCAATTCGGCGGAACTAAACGAAACGAGGCCTATATATACAAGGGGATTCGTCGACCACCCAGCTAGCTAGTAGCTAGGGCTAGCTATCTATCTCCATGCATGTATACGTACTGCCAACGACTATGCTCGGTTTTTGTGGCAGCTAGCTAGTACATTACTAGCGCATTTGCGAGATGCATGGTCCATGGACGTCCATCGGGTCGGGCTCCTGCGTAGCGTAACGAACTTCAACGCCGGCCGGTCGGGCACGCGCCGTCGATCGCAGCAGCAATAGGCCACTTGCTGCGCGCCATGGTCATCCTCTCTCCCTGCACGCCGTATCGTATTCCGTCCCGGGATACTCTGGCGCCCATCCGAAATGCTCCCTGGCTAGGTGATCATGCTTGGGCGACAGTGATCGATCCGTGTAGCTTAAACGCCTAATGTGTGTGTGCGCGCGCGCGCTACATAGGAATTTCAGGCTGGTCGATCGGTCGTCGTGTCAAAAAAATTAAAGGCCTCTCGTCCTAGCTAGCTACTCCACCAGCCAAAGATCGATGCAGCGAGTGCTACGTCGATGTAAAACCATGCAGCAAGGACCACGTACCTGGTGGGCGCCATGATTACGTACGTGAGTATTGTTCAACAACAGGTTCTACAGAGGCTCTGATCCTCTGATCTGCTGGTAGCGATAGCAGCCAACCAGCAGAGGCCATTGACGATCCTTTCAGGCAGGCTCGCTAGGGACTTGTTGCAGCAGTGTCACATGCATACTAGCAGCAAGCGATGCTACCTATGCTGATACGATGATGATGAGATGCATCGGATCGAATCCTTCTATATATATAAAGTGGCCAACCCAGCTAGCTATCTCCATATATATATATATATATATATATATATATATATATATATATATATATATATATATATATATATATATATATATATAGGATCATCCACCATTAGTAGTAATCACTCCACCTACCGCCGTATCCTCCACCTTTGTAAATTAGAGAATAAGGAGGTCCCCGTGATCTTCCTGCGCTTGTAAGGTAATCCCTCAGGTTTGTGCTAAGTGCTTGGGGTTTCCCGAAAGGAAAAGCCGTATGTAAGCTTGCTCTGTGAAAATGAATTAAGTTTTCCTGTTTTAATCCCTGCCTTCCTTTAAGCTTGTTCATATGGGGCGATGTCTCTATGCTAGGGACCCTAGAGGAGAAACCTCTGCGTGTGTTGTTCTCGTGTTAGCCTTGGTAGCGGCGTTTGTAGAGAACCCCAGTAGGCGAAGAGAAGTGTTCCTTGGGTGGAACTGCTGGGGAGAAATAGGGCTGAGTCCTGTGTGTTCGTGGCATGTAGCAAGGGAGTAGACCGGCTATTCTGAAAAGATGATGCATACGGTGAGTGCTACAAGCATAGTCGACCACTAATCTAGTCTCTCCACCGCAAAAAGAGATCCTTAGAAATAATCATCCGCATAAGCATATTCACTAAGCACTATTAACTAATCGTGAAAGCGACATATCAATATTTATATTTGCTAATCACTCACTCACTATTCAGCCAGCACGCAAAGTGACACTTGCAGAGGCCTCCAGCCTTGAATAGTAAAGTGGTTGGGCTGCCCTCGTGCACTGTTCATATCCAGAATTTGAATAGTAACCGCGAATTTGAATAGTGAATTTGAATTTGAATAGTGCAGAGTCGTCGTTGGCTCGTTGCAGCAGCTAGCACAGGAGGAAATTTCAAAATAATACTGAGATGCTCGTCCTCGCCTGGCGGCTTTTTGGACCTACTAGAATGGAACTAAAATTTTGGGCATTGTTATATATAAAGATATTATTACTGCTACACTAGCGCTACTCATTGCTAATTTCGCTTAAGAAATTCATATGAAGAGCTTGTATATTGCCCTGGACGAAAACACGAGCTGGTCGAGTAGTACGCCGGGCCACGGTCCTGGCCAACTGGCCTTGATCACCGTCTGCCGGACGTCGTATACATCAGTGGATAACACCATTTTATCGTGGAACATACGGGGTCTGAACCAGAGCTCGCCAAGACAACGTGCGGACGCCCGTGGCTGACATTAGGCCAGCGATCGTGACGCCAGGAGCATGATAGAACACGGCGACAAATCACGTCCGTAGATAGTTCTTAACGCCTATGTAATCCTCTTTAAGCTTCTATTGCCAGGCCGGCGTAGGTCATTTGTAATTTAAACTCTCTTCCTTCTTAATACAAATGATACGCAATGCTCTTGCATAT